CTTTAATGCCTTCTTGTTAGTCCAACTAACATTGTCCTAACTGTCCTCACTGCATTTTGCCTGGGCTATTTTAATTGGCCACCTGTCTGGTCTTCTTTCCTTTCTTCTCCTTATTTACTTTCTTTGTATGGTGTTTCCCACAGTAAAAAAAAATTATATTCATAAAACATACTCTAAATGATGTTTCTCACTTGGTTAAATTGATTAAATATTTTCATATAATATCTGAAAACATATTTATGGACAAAACATGTCACTAACAAAGTCTGAAGATAAATGGCACTGGGGAAAATATTCTAACATATACCATGGACAAGAATTTAATTTCTTGATTTAAAAAGAGTCCTATGAATAATTTTCAGAAATAGACAACACATGTTTTTTTTTTAATGTTCAACTTCACTAAATAAAAAATAAAATTCAAAACTATAAGATATTAGAAAGGTAAACATGTTAAAGGTGATGGCATCCATTGCTTTTTCAGGGATGGGGAAAAGAACACTCTCCTGAACTGTTGACAAAATAGAAACCAAATTTTGTAAGTCAATTAGGTAATATCTATCAAACTATGTACCCTTTAATCTAGCAATTCTCTGATTAGGAATTTATTCTACCCATGAACTTAAAAATATTTTCCAAGGGGCTACGGTTGTAGCTCAGTGATAGAACACTTTCCTGGCATGTCTGAGGCACTGGGTTCATTCCTCAGCACCACATAAAAGTAAATGAATAAAATAAAGGTATTATGTCCACCTACAAATTAAAAAATTTTAAAAAAATATTTTCCAAGAATATCTCTCTCTCTCTCTCTCTCACACACACACACACACACACACACACACACACACACACACTAGTGGTTGCAACACTGATATTAGGAGAAAAAAGAAACAAAGGAATGGATGGATAGACAGAAGGAAGGAAAGAAAAGAAAAGCCTGAGATGGCCAACATGTTAATCAAGAAAGGACTAGTTAAAATATTTATATGATTGAAGGTTATTTAGAATGTTACTTTTAAAAGGACATTTGTGACATGTGGAAATGCTCATGATATAGTGTTAGTAGAAAAACAGAAAAAAAAGCTTATAAAATATTTGCAGTACGGCACTATTTTTTATCTAAAAATAGTTGTATATATGTTAACATTGAAAAACAAATGTCAAGATTCACAGCATATATGATTTCCTGTTATTTATACATTTTCCAAGTACAAATATATCATTTTTGTAGTTAGAAAAAAATTACTTGTTTTCAACTTTCTATAGAAAATAGAAAGGCAATTAAACTGTCTGTGCCCTTGTATATTCTATATTCCAGAAGAAACACTACCTAGAGTTCACGTCTTGGAGGTTATAAAAATTAATAATTAATTAAGCATAATTCTTTGGAAGTGCTATAGCTACAATAATCTGAAAGCTCTCTATAGGATTTGGCTGTAGGAAAAAGATATATTCCCACACATTGTAATTTATTCAACCAGCTCTATTTGCTTTGCCTCATTCAACAAATGCTGTCACCTAATATTGCATAATCCATGTGTGTGTGTATATATTTAAGTAGAATTGGAATGTAACTTCGTTAACTATTATCAAGTGCTGACTACGGGAAACCACATCAGCTGCGAGTAGCCCTTCACATTTACGATTTAGGTGAGTATTATAACCAGTGTGCAAGAATATTTGTTGTCTGTTACTGGAAAAAGCAGCAAAAAAGAACCTATGATGTTTATATTGCAATATGTTCTGAAATACTAACATAAAAAAAGAGAATAAAGAAAGCAAATTTGAGTCTGAAGAAAGTAAAAATAGTATGAAAATAGTTATCAGACTTAGCAAAGTAAAAGATTTGTAGGTTATTTTTCAGAACAGCATTTGAAAATATTTCTGGATTATACTTTGGTTTATGTAACTCTAAAAAGGTGTTGATTTCTCTGTGTTCATCATAAATGCAGTGTTTTCCAGCTTCTTGTTCAACTATGCAAGCTAATGATGATTTAGAATAGAATTCTTCCAAATGTGTTCTCTCGATAGTCCAGAGGAATAATAGTGGTGGGGAAAAAATGCTATGATATCAACTAATTACTGAAAACAATTAGGTCAATAAAGATAGCTTTGATTTTCTTAAAAGAAGGACTACCAACATCTTCATGATACTAATGTGGGCTCTGGTTCTCTGGGATAGGATACAGATTGGAACACAAAGTTTTATTTGAAAATGCAAATTTTTTTAATGACCAGGATATTTTTTTTTTTAATGACCAGGATAATTTTTCCCCAGGGCATGTGTAGCTTTGGAAAAAAGAGAAAACAAAAATTATCATAGCGATACAGTCTTCATGTTAGTAAAGTGTGACCTCAATACCTACTGTGTGCAGGATACTATTTCAACTATTTTCTGTGTAATTTAAAATTTAACTATAATAGGATTACCTAACCTGTACTATTCCGTGTATTAAGTCATAAACTAGCTATTGTTAATGTAAAATTCAACCCTATTTAAAAGGAAATAAGAAAGACATTTATTCTGAGCCAAATATGAGTGAACATGGCCCAGATTACCCAATATGACATGTTCCAAAGTGAAAGAGGTTACATAAACTTTACAGCCAAAGAACAAAGAGTTTTACAAACTAATACATTCAACAAATSAATCAGTGTTGGTGTTAGGTAGGCAGGCCATAGCAAAGCAGGGATATCTTTCCTATGGATATCATTATGTTATAGCATTCTTAGCTTTGGGGTTGGTAGAGGCTAGAGGTCTTCTAAGCTTAACAACATAGTCTGAGAAGTTTACAAAATAGTGGTGAGCATATTAGGTCAGATACAGAGGTTAAAAGTGACTACTTATCTAAATGATCTAAGATAGCCCAAGATAATTTTGGCTTTCAAACTATAAAATTCCCATATTTCTACAATCAGGATGTTCTATTCAGCCAAGGTCAAACAGTCTGCAGGATTTTGAGTATAGATACAGCTTCTTCAGTTTCACATCCCATATTCAGAAATTTATTATTTCAAAGAAGTTGGACAACTGCTTGTGTAGAAGAAAAGCTGGGTGTTTTAAGTGAAATTCCCAGTTCTTTCCCCTGACTACCCCCACTACATTTTGAACAGGGAGGGGCCATAGGATGGGGATGGAAGGAGACAGAATGGAGAAGTGCTCACAATAAGATGGTAGTCAATAGACTAGATTATGCTCACAGCTGTTTTTGTGAGCCTAGGCAAGGCATCTTCCAGAATCTCAATCTAGTCATTTGTAGGGTGAGGGGCTTAGTGAAATGATGCATAAGGTTCTCTGCTTCTCAGCATTCTTGATCAATAAAGGTGGGAGAATCAGAGAAAGAAGTAGGATTTATCTGATGTCCTCAAGTAGTGTAGGGATAATATCCACTCCAAGACAAAATTGAGGGGCATAACAGGGAGTCTTCCTTTGAAGATTTTGCTCAAGGGGACTGACTATAAATAAGCAACTTGTATATAAGATTCTAGCTCCACCTAGAGAAGATAATTTGGAATTTCAACCTGTGTAGAGTTATCTACAGACAAAAACAAAGGTGTATGATGTTTATCCTCTAAAGAATCCTCTAACCCAGAGATTCCTCTCTTACTTAGCTAGAAGAGCTGATTCACCTGAAATTTAGAAAAAGTTTAAATTATACCCACTTCTTAGCTAATTTGTGGGGGTTTTTTAAATGTAACAAAATAGGAGTTCAATGCTTTAAAAAAAATCAATAATCATTGGCAGAATTTCAGGCAAAGTCAACTGGAGAAGTCCTACTCTTCCAGAAACCACAATACTGCCATACCTTGATTATGAAGCCAGCTTGTAGTATCATATTGAAAGAATAAAAAGCTTTCCACAATTTATGATGGAGAATTCCATATCCTTTCAATATGACAATGCAATCCAGCTTGTTCAAGGTACAACATCCATTGATAATCCTTTCCTGAACTAAGTATTAAGTTGGAAGCTACAAGATGGTGATTTTTCTAGTTTTATCATTCCTTCTATAATGAATAGATCCCTTTCTATTCATTCATTGTCAAGAAATGCCATATATTTGTGGGTTTCTTATTAACCCATCAAGTCCCATCATTCCAGATGTGGGACACTTATGAAAACAAATTAAGCAATGAATATACAACTTTTGGTAACTTTTGAAACAATTATGTTTTTAGAGCTCTATTATTTTGGTAAAAGTAATAGATGAATGATTAAAGTGTTTGAAAAAATATATTTCATATATACAGAAGTATATATAAGGAATATATGTGTGTGTGTGTGTTATCTAGATTGTGACTTCCAACCTATTTTAATGCACCTATGTTGATTTTGTTGAAATATTCCCAGAGCTGAAAACGTGGGACCTAATGAGTTAAATGCTTATAGTCAATTACCATCATTATTCTTTTTGATATTCAAATAATGCCAAATTTGGCCAGTGGGAAACACTTCAAGGCAGTTCATGTATGCTTTTGAAACAATAATGCTTTCTGGCACAAAGAATGTTCCATGTTTACTACTATTTTTCCAGTCTCAGATCTGGAGTAGATCTTGAGATTTCTTCTGGCAGAAATATTTAGAAACTAAGATATGGGCACACATTTATTGCTGGGAGTTGGTTTATTGATTAAATTTTAACATTTATAGGTTTTTTTCTTGAGCTTCTTTAATTTTATATTTGTATCTCCTTTCCCCTACAATGAAAACCATATAGCATCAATATGTCTTCTATTTTTTCTGTTCTACAGTATAACTAAACAATCTCAGAATTTCAATACTGGTATTACCACTAATAATAAACATAACTAAAGTTAAATTTCTTTGCAGTTCTCTCTGTTTTATGGCTATATTCCAGTATAAAAGTATAATTAGGATACTTGTTCAAATTTTACTTAATTTTAAAAATGTGGTTATCAATTTTATATTGAGTTAGTCATGGTTCTTGATTGTTTTAAAGTTAAGAAAGTTGAACTAATATTATATCTTAATTCAACAGAAATCTGAAAGAATGACGCCTAAAATGAAGTATTCAACCCCCAAAATCTCCTCAGCAAAGCTGAGCAGCACAGCAGATAGAACCTTAGTAAAACCCTGCAAGATAAGAGGTAAGGACTTAAGCATTCTTGATTATATTACACTATTTTTATCTGGTGTCAAATCTTTATTATTCCAATGATTACATGTTACCTTGCCAAAAGCTTCTAAGAATAAAAGAATTAAAATTTTAAAAAGGGTGGCTCATAGATATGACAGCCAACTTTTGCTTACTTAATACATCATGAGATAGGAATAGCCCAGATAATTTAAACTTATGAATAATATAAATTATAGCCTTCTATGTTGATCCTTTTATTGTCCCCACACCTTTTGCTACCAAATCCCCAAACCTTTTCCTAATTAAAAAACAAAATTCTAAACTAATCTATTTTCATTCAACAAATACTGAAGACAATTGGTGTAACATGTGGTCTTGACTTGCAAATACTGATGTAGGAGAGAATAACAAGTGAAGATATTTGAATAATCCAGCCCTCAGATGAAGCAGAATTGACCAAATGAAACTCATGTTTATGTAGTTAAAACTAAGAGAGTTTAGGGGCTGGGGTTGTGGCTCAGTGGCAGAGCACTTGCCTCATACATTTGAGGCAGCGAGTTCAATCCTCAGCACCACATAAAAATGAATAAACAAAACAAAGATATTGCATCCATCTATAACTAAAAAATATTTTTTAAAAAAACTAAGAGAGTTTGGAATAATATAAAAAGGAAATATAGTCAAATAATAGCCACATCTCTGAGATAGAAGGGCTCTATGCCTATTTAACCCTTAAAATTATCTACCTAAGGGCTGGGGTTGTGGCTCAGGGGTGGAGTGCTCGCCTAGCCTGTGTTGAGCCCTGGGTTAGATCCTCAGCATCACCTATAAATAAAATGAAGGTATTGTGTTCACCTACAACTAAAACATATATTTAAAAAAATTATCTACCTAAGAAGGAATCATGTAAATTTATACACTCATTTTTTTCAGATGGAAACAATAACATAAGAGAGTTAACAGAACCCTAGTGGGCTGGAGAAAAAACGGAGGACAAGGAATGATAACGGCAACTGGCAGATCATTATCCTTTATGCTCCTCACCTTTTCCATTAACACCTTTAAGGCTAGAAGAGACAACAGTGTTAAGGAATATCATTTCTGTCCTCTTCTGTCCTCCATGAGGGTCTGGCCCATGCACACTATTTTTTGGTAACCAGGGAAAACACTAATTTGACACTAGTTTTGGCCAAAAAATCATTATTAAATTAATCACTTTACTGAGTTGAAATGCTTTGTACATAAACAGTTACTCCATGTCCCCAAATTCCTTCTTAATAAAGAAAGTATTTTTTGTATCCCAGGAAATAAGGGTTCTTTACAGATATAGGAATGAGGGAGTAGGGTTTATTAGAGTTTCTGGTATTGACACCAAAGTTAAAATGTAACTCCTCTTTTATGAGTTCAGGAAGTACTTATCAGCACCAGAGGACAGTGGTAAAGATAATCCCAAAATATGACTTTGCAATACAACACATTTTTATCATCCCTTAAGAAAATTTCCTTTCCAATAATATCAACTAGGTACCATACTACAATAATAGATATTTAAACACTTGGTAAAAAATTCAACAGAGACCTATGCAATTTATGACAGAGCTGAACCATTTCTCAAAACTCAAAAGTGCAAGAAATGTCACGTTATTTTTCTAAATAATCTTCTGCTCTGAGCCCTCAAGCCACAAAGAACACACACACACACACACACACACACTACTTCATTTTTCTTCTCAAACTCCCTTGGTTTACCTGGATATGACACAATTCACAGTTCACAAGCCATAAAACTCAATATCCATCCACACAGCCAGTCACACATTAGTTGACCCCTGGAAAACTTCACCTCTGATGCCAACATGGTAGAGAACTTCATGACCTGGAGGAAAGACCCTCTCTAAACTTCTCCCCTTTCCAGTTTCCAGGAAGATATTCCCCAAGGTCAGGTCCTTATCCTCTCCTGCTTCTGTTCCCCAACATCCATCAGTACTTTCTCTTCCTAACAAGCTCACCTCCTTTATTCATGGACATATACAGCCTACAGAAGCATTTATTGGCCTGAACAGTATTATTTTTAATTGAGACAACTTTTCAAAATTAGGAACTTTTCATGAGAATCTATATGTATAGGTTCTCTCAAAAAATCTGAAGATCTAGAAATACTGGGCCCATATTCCTGCATGACACAGTGAGTCAGGACTAGGTAGATTTAGTTTAAATCTATTCATATAAGATTTTTCTGTTAGTGAAGTAACTTCAGTTTATACTGTGGACTAGAGGAAACCACTGAAAATGTTTAACTGGGGAATGATGTATGAAAATAGAATGAGTGTCAAGAGAGAAATGGAAACTGATTAGAGGTCTACTGTATCATCTAGAGGACTGATGATGAAGGCCTGATCTAAGACAACAAAATGGAGAGGAAGAACTACAATCCAGATATATGTGAAAGGTGAAATCGATAAGCTTTAATGACATATTGACTAAATTGAAGGATGGAAAGAAAGAAAGAGATACTAACTTTCTAATTCTCACCTTTCTGATTTAAGAATTGATCAGATAATGGTAGACAGTTGTACTATTTTTCAAGAGAGCGGATTCAGGAGAAATATATTGAGGGTAGAGAAAGATAAAGATGTTTTATTTTTATAATCAACCTCATCCTCATCATCATTACTGGCATATTTTAGCTTGAGGTAGCTATAGGTCATCCAGGTAAAGATGTTCATAATTTCATTCCTGAGGACATACATAGAGACAGAAATGCTTGAAGGTAGCTAATTCCAAATGCTCTGTGAAGAAAGTTCAGGAGAAAGACAAAAGACAGAGTTACAGTTTGTGGAATCATCAGCCACTAAGCAGATGTTTGAAGTCACTGGAGCAAGCAAGATTGCCTGGAAAGAAAGTTTAGAGCGAGAGAAGGCAAAGGAGAAAACCATATGGTATACTGACATTTTAGGCAGAGGAAGAACTAACAAGGAGACAGAGGTAAACTGATCAGAAAGAAACACAGGGAACCAGTGTACTTAGTCACATAGCAATAAGGGAAGAGGGATTCAAGAAAGGAAGTGGTCTCCAGAGTCAAATGCCACAGAGATCAAGATTAGAAGCAATGAGAAAAAAAACATAGTGAAATAGGTATTTGAGGAAGAAATGAAAGATGAAGTTTTTCAAATCTGTCAACCACGGCGCCAAAACTACAGAAAGATTTCCAGGCCTCTTCCTATGTACTCACTAGAATTGCCTTAGGGAACTCACGCTGTTACAAGGATGATATTAGCTATGAGAATTTTCTTAAAAGTCACACTAAGACTCTACCCTCAGAGAGCAGGCAGGATGGAGACACAGGAATTGGTAATAGCCCTTGTGTAGATTTGAGCTGGTTCCCTGACACCAGTAGAACACTCTCTCCTGAAGAACCCCCACACGACCCTCACACTTTCAGCTGCCCAGAGCACCAAAGTATAACTTCTCCCAAATTCTTCCAATGTAAAGTATTTACAATACTTCAAATGCAGTCACATTCCCCATGAATTATAACCAGTGAATGTCCACTAGATGTTAGCTCCACACATTCATACATTTAACTCTCTTCCTAACCCCTTTTCTTCTTTTACCTCCACAATACTTGTATATGTCATGACCCTTACTTCAAATTACCCAAGACCCATTTCTTTTTCCCTAGAGTCTACATTCAATATTAGAGATGACTACCATGTTCCCATGTGATGCCAAATATTACATAAAGAGAAGCATATAAGGAATAAACAGAATTTTTGGTGTGGTCTTAAGCCTCTAAACTCTGAAGACATGATGTAGTATAGTTAATAAAGTATTGTATTAAGTTATCGGGAGAGCAAGTACTATGCTGGCTCTGGCACTACTTAACTTAGTAAATTATTTTTGTAACTATAAAAGTACTTTATAAATGTGAGATACTGTAGCTGATATTTTTGAATTGTCAAGAGAAGTCAAGGAATTCCATGGTGGAGTGGCCAATTCCTTGTTTAAACAGGTGAAAATACTCACAGGTCTTTAAAATCATTCTACTAGGAAGGCAAATCTTCTAGAAAATAGAAAAATATCTTTGATTGGCTCCCAAAATCAGAATTATTTTCTTTTCTGAATTACTGTGAATAATTGAAATTTAACTATATAGTATAAATTGTTTGATGGTTCATTTACTATATAATGTTGAAAATTGAGATCATCTGACTCGTGTTTATTTTTTTKGGGGGGGGTACTGGGGATTGAACTCGCAGGAGCACTCAACCACTGGCCACATTCATAGCCCTTTTTTGTATTTTATTTAGAGAGAGGGTTCTCACTGAGTTTCTTAGCATCTTGCTGTTGGTGCAGCTGGCTTTGAACTCACAATCATCCTGTCTCAGTCTCCTGAGCTGCTGGGATTACAGGCATGTGCCATGGCAACTGGCCTGATTCATGTTTTAGTTTTCACTCTGTGTAACTCTGAGAGGTTGTTATGATTTCTAATTTCCAACTGATTTTTTTAAAATTTGGCACAAATTTTTATTTGGCCAAATTAAGTAAGACTTACTGAATAATGATTAACTTTTCTACTTCATTTTTTTTTAGATTTGAATTTGTACTTTGTTAGTACCTCAAACAGCAGTGTAGCATTTTCTTAAATGGAGGTAGGGTGAGAAAAGTTGTTTTTATATTAGACACACCTCAGTCACAACTTCTCATCAGCCTTGTAAATTTGGACAATTTTACATGACTCCTAAAAGCCTCAGATTATCACCTATAAAACTGGGATAATAATGTCTAACTTGCAAGATTATAATGAAGAATTAAGTGAAATATGTAAAATAATTAGCACAGTACTTGGCCCACTGTTGACACTTAGAAGATGTTAGTTATTTTAGTGTCAATAACCTTCATAGAATATAGCTATCCCTGCAAAATTATTAAGTGTATTTTATATAAGTAGATCTATTTTAGATCTCAGATTTCACATAGCCATATGTATTTCCTCTCAGGCAAAGATTTATGTTTATTACATGTTGGCTTGTAATTCCTCATATGGAATTCTGAAAACCAAAATGTTTTCTAAAAACCTAAAATTTTTCATAATTCATTTAGCAGCAACATATGATCTGAATTCATTTGTCCATTAAGTCCCAATCTGAATATCTTTATTTTACTTTTTGTAAATTTTCCAATATTTCACTGTAAGATTAATTAATTTTTGACTAAACAGTGCTACACCAGCCCATTAAAGGTACTACATATGGATGATATATGTTCTATATTACAATGCTAAAATCTAAAAAAAAAAACTCTGAATTTTAAAACACAATTGGCTCCAAGAGTTTCTGGTAAAATACAGTGGATCTATACTTGCTTTCATCTGCTGCACTTAGGGTTTGCAAAAAGATAAAGATGAACAGAGTAAAACATAACAATTTTTCATTGTTTAGAATCCCAACAGAAGACCAAAGAAATCTGCCATGTGTATTGTATGAAGCTACGCTCTGGCCTTACCATAAAAAAGAAGGCCTGTTACTTCAGGAAAGAAATCACCAAACATTGTTCACAAAAAACAGGTAAGGGAAACTATGTTTCATGGCAACAGCAATGGGTATCTATTTGCCTTCACTTACCACATTTAAATACATAAATTTCTTCCTCACCCAAAAGAGTAAAGGGGCATATAAAGAATTTTTAACAGTATGAGGGATATACGGTTATGTTATAATATTAAGTAAAAATAAAGGATACAAGATTATATATAAATAGGTTTATAATATTTCTAAGTAATTTTATTAAAGGGGCAAACTAGAGGGCTAAGTGATTGCTTTTGGAGTGTTGAGACCATAGGTGATCGGTTTTCTCCCTCCTAGTGTGCTCTGCTAGGGTATAAATACGTCAGGAGGTATTAATCCCATCAGACCATGGGGTGTCCAAAGTCCTGGGATCATTTACCACTGTCAGCAAGCAGACTTAGAATCATCAAAAGGAAATGGCATGTATGCAGAGTGAGGACTGATGGTCCATTCCTGTTCAATTCTGACCTACAGGTGGAAAGCACAAAGAAATACATCAGTTATTTGCTGCCTATCAACCTGCTATGGAGCACTCCATCTTTGAAATAGCTAGGACCCAAGAAAATACTAGAGCACTTGACACATCAAGTATCAGAGGTGTGATGGGTCATAGGGGTGGTGTTGGGGGGAGGAGGGAGGTAAGACACAAGTAGCCAGCTCCAAATTTGTTTTCATATGTATCAGGAACCTCTGTTTGATGCCAATATGCCCATTTAGTGGTATCCAAACAGGTGTAACTGATCTAACAATGCTTGTATATTCTATAGTTAGCACATCATCATGATTTTGAGATGCTTGTCATTATTTGGAATCCTATATATGTTATTCCCACTGGAAATACATTGTCCTTTGAAAGAAAAAGATCTATTATTCCCCCAAATTCAACATTTTGTCCATGAAAGGAAACGAAGATCTATTATTTTCTGAAATATAATTTCAACATAATATATTTTAAAGTTACAATGGTTTTCAATTTTATCACCTACTTGCACATAAATTCAAATTGCTGGTAACTATCAGGAAGTAAAGAGGGACTAGGGGTGTAGCTTAGTGGTAGAGTACTTGTCTAGCATGTGCAAGGCCCTGGTCCAATACCCAGCACCAAAGCGGGTTGGGGGAAGAAGTGAATGAATCATCATTCAGGAAACTTGATAAGTAATTACATGTTGCCACTTAAAGCATTATTCCTGATAAAAACATATTAAGTTCACAAAAGTAATACTGAAGTTTCTCACTAAGGATCTTTAAATCACTTTGCTTTAGAAGTTCACGTATAAATTCAATTTTTAGCGATCTCTTTTATATTTTGTATATTTTTTAGTATAATTCTGTTACATAAAGAAGATACAGTGATTTTTCCCCCTGCAGGCCCTATATCAGTACCCCCTAAATCTGAACCAGTTTATCCCTGCATGCTTTAAAAATATTATCATTTTCGGGCTGGGGTTATGGCTTAGTGGTAGAGCACTCGCCTAGCACATATGAAGCCCTCGGTTCAATCCTTAGCACCACATAAAAATAAATAAAATAAAGGTATATAAAAGTATATTATCATTTTCTATGTGTGCTGTGACATTAAAAAATGTTAGGAATATTGCTCTAAGTATCTCTGTTATTTAGCTTAAAGGAGAGAACTGTGATTATATCTGAATTCCCCTGGACTATAAAAGTCTCTAAGTAACCACATTTTGTAGATGGGCATTCATTTACCTATGTCTATCAAAATAAAGTCCCTTCTTTCCCACAGTTCCCTAGACCATGGGAAACCAAAAAATGAAGGTTTCTTCAGGCAATTCCCATCACTTTTCAGCTTCTTTCTCCCCACCAAACCCTCTCATACACATTCTAGGTGCTCCTACAGCATTTATTCAGGAGACTAGGCACTTTTAATCCCATCCAGGTGTTACACCTCAGCCTTTGAGCTACATAAAGCTTTGTGCCAAAGGCTTTCATCTATTCACAACTAATGACAAAATGTAGCTCAAATTGCAAAGTAAAAAAAATTTTGAGGACACACTTCAAAAAACAGTTTGTCAAAAGAATTATTCATGGTAACAAGTTTTATTCCCAAGAACAAGTTTTATTTCCCATGGAAACAAGAATTTCACTTGTTATAGGAGTTTCTTTTTTCACAGAATCTTGCGCTTCCCTGAGTACATACAACAATCAACATGTTCGTTTTATTTGGGAGGATGGAAATTATGTGACCAATGTTGAAGACCAGCCAAAAGATCAAGAAAAAGGTAGAATATTTCCTTATCTAAAATTATGTAATGATGATTAAAAAAATAAATCTACCAAACTATCAACAATGGATTAATTTAGATACAGCAAATAGATTTAGTTATATTTGCTCATTCTAATACATTGGCAGTGGACACCTGAACATCGCTACGTTGAGAAGGATTCAGAAGTTTAATTAGGATTACTTAATGCAAGAATATAGATATTAAGAGTATACATTTTGTGAACTATGGAAGGAGGAGCCACATGTATTTGCTATTGCTAAATTACCCACTAGATCTTTCTAGGCTTATTAATATCAATAAATTATAATCTTTAACAAAAGGAATATACCACTGCTATCAACATCATAAATATTTAATAATAACTGTGTTGAATTTATCAGAGCAAATTTTAAGACCTTCAAATTTTAAGACCTTCTCAGAACCAAGAAATGTTTGCTTTTGTTGATGCATAATAAAAAGGCGAGGATATTCTCTGATGTTATGAATATGATGGAACTGAAACCTTTTGATAAAAATGTATCTCACAAAAGTGATCTTATGCATTCTCTTTCAGACAAGGTATTACTGCGCTACTATGAGTCTCCATACCCCTCAAGCGAATCAGGTAATTTGGAGGCTTAGGTATTTGTAGTGCTGAAATTTGTAGTAAAGATAAATCCAAAATACTCCATGGGAAAGGAAGATTGTTTCAAAAAGCTCTCTCCAACCCACGCTCACAATAAAATCTTAGATTCTTAGAGGATTTATTCCATCGCATTAATTTTCTAGATTAATACTTAGGATAAAGGTTTGGCTGCATTTAATAAAAATCTGTCTTACCTAGGACTGGAATGGCAGTTCTGCTCAAAGTTTGTCCAGACACACAGCTTCTACACCGTGGCTCTATCAGCAGCTACATGGTTCAATATTCCTAGCTACGATGGCAATGTCCAATCAGTGAGACAGAGGAAAATGAATGTACAACTAGAAGTTACACCTAAGAACTTAGTCCCTTGCTGTATGAAACCATGAGAAGCAGGCTAGGAAATCTTTTATTATTATATATAAAAGGAAGTAGATATTAGGGGACAACCATGTAAAGCCCTGTAGCTTTACAGGCAGACAGGGAAGCTGATGCCCAGAGAAATGCCCATGAGTCACAATTCTTGAGTTGGAAAACATATTTTTTAAATACCAAACCTCTCTCCTTCGAGAAATTCAGAAGAACCGTCTTCTTTTTAATAATGACTCTTTTACTTTCATTTGGGTGCAAATATCTTTAAGTGAATGAAGTAGTTATTTTATTTGATATCTTAGACTCTTTTTCTGGGTGTTAAAAAGACTTAAATTAAAAATGAGTTTCAAGTTTTTATAATTTAAAATTTATCTTATTTCTTATTATTAATTTTATAATTAATGACAAATGAATCTGTGTATTTGTTATGTACAACATGAATTTTTGAAGTATATATACATGGTAGAATAGTTAAATCTAGCTGGTTGAAAACTGCATTACCTTACTAATTATCATTTTAATTGTAAGGTGATGGTGTCGATGGTAAGATGTTGATGGTAAACCTGAGTCCTACAAAAGACAGAGACATCTTGCTTCATGCCAACAACAAGGCGCAGTCTGTGGAGGTAATAGATACATAATTATATAATTATGGTGATTAACTCTATCCATGTGTATATATTTGGGTATTGGGATATTTTGAAGAAGGAATTTTGTTTGTGGTGTTGTAAATAAAACGGGTACTACTAATGACTTGCTTCTGCAGTAGGGGAAGGAGAAAAGTATATGTGACCTTGTTGCTAAAAATCTGGAATCTCCCAGCAGCACAGAATCACCTGAGTGCTTGTTAGAAATGCAGGAGTTCAAGCCCTCCAAGGAATGAATCAGGATTAGCATTTTAACAAATTCTTATGGCTGGGGATATAGCTCAGTCAGTAGAGTGCTTGCTTTGCATGCACAAGGCCCTTGGTTCCATCCCCAGCACATACACACACACACACAAATCTCTAGGAGATGCACAATTTCATTAAGGTTTGAGAAGCACTGCTATACAGGTTTATCTCAGTTTCTTTTTATTTGACTTTAGGAATTATGTTCTAGGAAATATTTTTTGTAAAATATTCTTACACTCCAAGTCTGGAAGCTGGAGATGCAGCACACATTTCCATGTCAAGGTTTATGGATAGCAAAATGATCTACATTCTCATAGGATTCACTGCATATTGTTTACTTAGTAAAAGGCAATATTATATTGATCATGACAAGGAACTATAAATATCTTGAAGAATAAATAAACCAAAGGTAGAAGCAAGGACAGGAACATGAAAGTATAATACAGAAGATAAATTACATAAATACACAATTTTATAAAGCTAACTAATACAGTTATATAAGGTATTAACATAAGTAGTGGTCAGTAACTGGCATTTTCTATAACAAAATATCCCTAAGTGTATATAACACAGTATCTAGCATATATAACTATTCAATAAGAAGTAACTCATCTGAGCTATTAAATACCAAGCACTTGCTAAGTACTATCTCATTTAATCCTTATAGTTACATCTATGATGAAGCTATTATATTACATCATAGACTTATATTTCAGCTATTACTGAATAACAAACTATCCCCCAAACGTAGTGATTTAAAATAAAAATTATGTATATTATTCATACATCTAGATGAGAATTAACTGATCTAGAAAACTGGCTAGACTAAAATATTGAAGTTTAAGAGAAAAGCAACATACCCAAGTCTTAGCATATATTACAAACCAAGGGTACAAGTCCAGAACTATTGCATTCAGATTTAGGCATTCTAAGTCATATTGCCTCTCTAAGTATGCTATCCATCAGTGAATCAAATTAAATCATACCACCCACTACTTTACCCTCTACTCATCTGCCCCACCTCCTTTCTCAGTAAGCAGGCTTGCTGGAAATACCAAGTTATAGATTATTATTCCCCTTCAGGTTCTAACATATGAAGGGAAAGTTGATTCTGGACCTTTGACTCATGTATTGGTTGCTTTTTCTCTTGTTTCCTCAGCTGCAAAAGTGTAAAACTCCATTGCCAGACCAGGCCTTCTTTGTCCTTCATAAGGAATCCTCTGATTTTGTTTCATTCGAATGTAAGAGTAATCGTGGAATGTATATAGGAGTCAAAGATAATCAGCTTGCTCTGGTGGAAGGAAAGAATCAGACTAGTGATAATATCATGTTTAAGCTCTCCTTAATGTGACAGAGACCTGCAGGATCTGGTTTGGGCAACCCAAATGGTACCACTGGAGGACAAGAGTGAAAGAGACAGGCAATGTCTAGGGGAAATAGCTTAGAATGCTGTGGAATGTTTTATTTACTATGTGTACAAATATTTTTTCTAATCCTTCAGTTGTTTTCTTTTTCTTTGTATTACTATATATTCAACAAAATTATGAGTTTATAAAACAAGGTTTTGGTAAAAAGATCTGCTTTTTGAAGAGATATAGGCTAACATTTACTTTTTTCTAGATCCAGTCCAGAAAGAATTTCCACATTTAGAGTTTAGATCTCTTTAGAGAAGAGTCCATAACTCAAGTTACTCTTTAAATAGGGATCCATTATAAAGAGATACATGGTTTTCTCTTATTCCAAACAATAGATTCAAACACTAGAGCTGTTAATAAAAAGAATAAATACTGCATAGACTTACTATTTATCCACTAGAATAAAACACTGAGTGTGTTTATAAATGCCCTAGGTAACACTCAGATTGGCTCTTTTTGTGAAGAGTTATGGCACTTCAAATGCCTACCTGCTTAGGCAAGTAATATAAAGGAAAGGATAATTTGAAACTTAAGAAAAACAAATTCAGTATTGATAAAATGAACAATTTTACCTCTGTTTCATTTCTTAAATTCTGATTTAATATTAAATAATTTTTATATAGAGTTAACTTTAAACAAGGCCTTCCTACATTAGAAAACAAATTTCAGTTCACACATGTAATTGAAATTATTGGTAATATCTAACAAACTGAAACATTTTCTTAAAATACTAAGTTATAGTAGAATGGTTAGGGCATTCAAGTAGCATGGGATCCAAATACTATAATGAAACCAGAAGTCCTCTAATTTACTAAGGCCCAAAAAAGACACAAAATTAACATTAAAATTTCAATAACTGGCTGCCATTCACATTTATGCATACTATGTCCTTCGAATCCTACCTTCCAAGATCTATGACTTTGGATATGCTCATCACCTTGGGTAAAATTTCTTCTAATCCTTGCTTCCCATGAACACAGCAGGTCTTTTTGTTGTTTAGCTTCTCAATGACTCTGCTCAGATAGAATATTCATTTAACTCTGTCCCTTCTTCAGTTATTTTAACCAAGGTATCCTTTGGCACCACTACCCCCACGTTCATTTCCATTTCATCTGAACTCTACATGTTTACCTTTATTCTGCTTTGTGTACCTGACAATGTAGAATTTTTACATACGGTACCTAATACTGTAGAACTTTCGCCTACTGATGGCAAAATTGTTCACTGAACATCTTTGTGTTTTACTGTTACTAAGGTACTAAAATTAATGATCATATAATAACATTTTGAACTAGTAAATGAATGGTTTTTGCTTATTTCAATCTTTAGCAATTTCTATTATAATTTTCCATAGACATGGTTTATAATTAATGGTAAATATAATAATAGAAAATTGATGACATGTAACCTTTGCTGAAAGTGGACTTTGAAATTTCTAATTCATTGGAACCTAATGGGTATAAGATAAAAGATGCTGAGAATCATTGTATAAAAATTATGCAACTGTAGAATAATATATCATTGTTTCATAATTTGTTAAAACTTTATTATAGAGACAAAAATAAAATAACCTATATCATTTCCTTCAAAAAATAGTAAACATTGTGTGCATCTGTATGATATACTTAAAATAATTATAAACTAAATATGTCCATTATACTGTTTGTAATCCTGAATAAAACTGTACTTTTTTAAAGAATGCATGGCTATAAAAATTTTATCATAAAACAACTCAATATTCTAATTTTTTTCTTTTTCTTTTTTCTTTTGGTTCTGGGGATTGAACCCAAGGGTGCTTAACCACTGAGTCACATCCCTAGCCATTTTTCGTATTTTATTTATAAACATGGTCTCACTGAATTGCTTAGGGCCAGATAAGTTGCTGAGGCTGGCTTTAAACTCGCAATCCTCCTGCCTCAGCTTCCTGACCCACTGGGATTACAGGCGTGTGCCACTACACCTGGTGAATATTCTGAAATTCTTAAGTGAAAGTAAGCACACCCTAATTTATCAATGTTGGTTTCTAGAGAAAGTCAAATATTTACTGATATTTTTGCTAATTCAAAATCAAGTAAGACTTTTGCTTTTGTCTTCTCAGTGCCTGGTAGAGAAGCCCTTACAAAAATGTTAGATGATTTTTACCCAAGATCAAACAGCTAACACATACCTTCACTAGAACTTAATCTGAGATTTATGACTCCTTATTTAGATATCTTTTAAGTCAGCTATCTGATTTTGTTTTTTCTTTTTTAAAAATATTTTCCACCATTATCATAATCAATGTTATTTAATTAAAATATTCAAGGTATTGTTACTTACTTGCATGTTTTTTTGATGGCACATAGTATACAATACCAGACGGAATGTGTTCATTTAACTATATCAGAAATTATAATTATGTCAAAACTTCTTTTCCCCTCATATTTATATTTTGTAAGTTTCTATGTATTTTTGGATACCTTGATATTTTAGTCAGCTTTTTGTCACTGTGACCGAAAAAACCAACAAGAACAATTTAGAAGAGGAAAAAGGTTTACTTTGGCTTATGGTTTCGGAGGTTTCAGCTCATAGACAGCTGACTCCATTGTTCTGAGTCCAAGGTGAGGCAGAACACCAAAGCAAAAGGGTGTGGCAGAAGAAGGTTTCTTAGGACATGGCAATCAAGAAGAAGAGAGACACGTACACTCAGCAGGGACAAAACATATATCCCTAAGGCACACCCCCAGTGACCTACCTTCTCAGCCACATCCTATCTGCCCACAGTTGCCACCCAGTTAATCCATTCAAGTGGATTTTTGCACTGATTAAGTTAAGGTCCTCATAACCCAGTCATTTCACCTCTAAGCTTTCTTGTTTTGTCTCACACATGACCTTTTGAGGGATTCCTCATATCTAAACCATAACACTTGAAATATGGTCAAGAAAATTTCATTTGAATGAGTGAAGTCATTTAGAATTGGGGGGAAATAATTAAGAGTTGAATTTGAAGGGGGCACTTGGAAAGGAAATTCCTAATCTAATTAGAATGTAGCACCTTGAATTAAGTCTAGGATGATGGATTCATAATCTCTACTTACACAGAACAAAACAAATCAGAAATAACAATTTCAATCTTTGTGCTTCATATAAGAAATTTCAAGGTGAACAGTGAAATCTTCAAATGAGATGGTCTAGTGGAGATTGGGTCAGACTTGTCCCCAAATCCCTTCTTCCCTCATACTATGACCTGTACAGACCAGAAATCTCATCTCCTATTAGTAACTAATTAATTACATACCATGTACACTGAACATTGTGAAAGTATAGAATATATCTAAGCTATTCTCCTTGTCCATATGAAACTTGTATAATGTACATATATAGTATATATTAAAATTCCAACTCTGCAGTACATAATCATACAAGGTGACAGAAATCAGTGAGGGTCTGTCATCAAGGAAAGAAACAGGACTGAATTCTCTACCCCTGCACCCTAGTATCCACCTGATTTGTTTATATATCTATTCCCAAAGTCATGTTAAGCAGGTTTCTTCTACAGATCTTGAGCAAAAAGGGTAAATTCAGTTGTTCCAATTCCATTAATAGTCAAGATTCAAGCTAAATCTAAATATTGGGTGGAAGAGACGAAAGAAAGCCAGCTGGTAGAGACAAAATCAATGAGCTATTTCTTGTTGAGGTGTCAATAAGAAGTAACACATGTCCACACCCAATCACAGTTTTTAGCCTATCCTAGAGGACATTATCATAAACAGAATGCATGAATCACTGCCCACTATATTAAAAACATAGGCTTGGCTTACCACTTATAGGTGGTGTGTCTTCAACAAGGTATGAAACTTCTGTTTCTCTGTAAAATGGATATGTACCAAATCTTGTAGTTATCTACCTAATATCCACCACCTCTACCCTACTTGCTTACCAGTGGAACTTCATTTTGTTCCAGTTAGTCGTTTACCCAACTAAAAACAACCCATTCCAGATATCTACGGTAATCATTTGATATAGTTCCAGATAGTAAAATATAGGCAGGAGAAGTGTTTGAGAAGAACTTTTTTAAGGGACATGTTCAACTGATATGTCCCTTTTCAGCATCCCATCTTCCTACCAGGGCCATAGATATGAAACTGAATGTACAATAACTACCTTCTGATCAGGAGGTGATGATGAGGGGGAACAAACACCTATACATTAAAAAATGGCAGAGTGAAAGATATAACTCTGGTATAGCAGACAGTATTGATGCTCTGTCCAAGTCTCCTTGGATTCATTTACACTAGATCCTTTGATGACATTTCTGTGAATACCACACATCTTCACCACCACCATCTTCTGTGTACTTTCAATATCTAGCATTTGCAGTTCTTCTCACAAGGACAGGCTTGATGGTATAAATGATGCTTTGCCCTCTTGCACAGAAAGACATGAGTGTCTGAGTTTATATTTCTCCCACCAACCTTACCAAGCATTCACTGAGAACTTCCCTCCTTGAGTTCATACTGAAGCTACTTCTGCTGGACTTTAGCATAAGATTATTTCCTTGCTTAAAGGCTACATAGATTGCCCTCTCTTGCCCTAATTTCCCTAGTTTTTCTTGAAAGCACTACCTTAGTAATAAATCACAAGTTCAAAAACCCTTAACACAGAATCTGTTCCTGGGAAACTTACCATAAAAAACAGGTCACATGTAACATTGTTGAGCTGCCATACTATTTTTGAAATACTAACTGCAGACTTTATGTTAAGAGAAAAAAATAAACCCATGTCTGCTAAAGCTAGTGCTGGGTTTTCTGTGGAATGAAGCTTAAAGTAAATTTCATCAATAGAAAAGATGATTTTGACACCTGATTCTTAGGACACTAATAGAAACTACATTGCACATATCAAGCACTTAGTGAATGTTAGCTTAGAATCTAGGCAAACTTGATTGGTACTGAGAAAAATTTTTCTTAGGTACAATTAAAACTTTAAAAAGACATGTATGTGAACGACCAACAATAAAAAAAAGAAAAGAAAAAAAAAGGAAATAAAAAAGGAAAAAAAAAAAGACATGTATGCCTCTACTTTGTTATCCTCTCAAAGTGGAGAGAATAAATCAGAATGGATGAGATCTGACAATTTATAACATATAAATCTCATAGGTATTTTACTATATTTTTGACCTACAAATGTAACATATGTTTTCATATGTGTCATACTTTATTCAGCCTGCTTCAACAAAATACCATAAATTGAGTAACTTATAAACAACAGAAATTTATTTTTCTCAGTCTAGCAGCTGAAAGTCTAAGATCTGCACTGGCATATTTAGTATCTGAAGAAGTCTTCACATGACCAAAGAGGTTAGCCACCCCTCTGGTTTCTTTCTTAAGGGGACTAATCACAATCATAAGGACCCTGCCCTCATGACCTAATCACTTCTCAAAAGTCTCACTTTCTAAAACCATTACCTTGGGGTTAGAATTTCAAACTAAGAATTTGCAGTGGGGAGACCCGAATATTGAGACCAAAGCAATATGTATCAAATATTAAATTATAAACATAAAACTATTAATAGTAAAAATGAAAAAATACCTATATCTCCTCAAAAGAGCACAGGATAAAAGTGTAAATATTCAATGATATGTGAATGGTAAATGGGATAACCAAAAACTTATGCAATAATTTATTAATATTACATGGGTCCGAAAAACAATTAGAAAAACAAAAAACTGGATCTTGGAAAAATCAATAAAATTTATAAACCTTTGGCCAGACTGACCATGAAAAAAAATTACCATTATCAGTAATAAAAGAACTGACATCTGTAGTTGTA